GCTGAACAACTGCTGTATCAAGGCAATGCAAACTTCCTTAAAAAGGCTTATAAATTAACAGTAGTATTTAGAAAGGACTACGGCATCCTTCAGTGAATAGCATTTACATCTTATGTAAAATAATCCTATCTTTGCCTGTTCTAGAAATGTCACAGTTCACACACACACGTACCTGTTTGTGTCCCAGATGATCACATTTCCATCAAATCCTGATGTTACTAGCAGTCTTGTATTGGTATCATACTCAATGTTCTTAACCCAGCTGGTGTGACCATGTAAAGTGCATACTTTTGTATTCAGCTTTCTTAAATCCCAAAGTGCTATTGTAGTGTCATCAGAACAAGTTGCAAACAGTCGATTATCTAGAAACCTGCAGATTGGACAGAAATACATCTTAGCACCTTCTCCAATTTAAATATTTACAAACATTTAGACTTAAGTTGACTTTGGAAAACAAACAGGAAAAAAAAAACACATACAGAATGACGAAAATAAATTAATTTATATGAGAATGTTTGTTGAGAAAACTTGCAGTTGTGCTATAAATAAATAAATAAATAAATCACAAAACGATTAAGGTTGGAAGGGACCTCTGCAGATGTAGTCCAATCCCCCTGCTCAAGCAGGATCATCTAGAGCAGGATGCCCAGGATTGTGTGCAAGCAGGTTTTTAGTATCCCCAGAGAAGGAGGCTCTCCGGACAGCCTGTTCTGGTGCTCTGTCACCCTCACAGTCAAGATGTTTTTCCTCAAACTCAGGTGGAACTTCCTGTGTTTTGGCTTATGCCACGGCTTGTTCTAAGCCATGCCACTGCTCCATACCCCAGCATTTCTGGGAATGAAGCACCAGACCTACAGAAGCACAGCAGGGGGTTTCTTTTTCCTTTTAAACAAAAGATTCTTTCCTTTTAAGTAAAGATTGCTGATAAATGATCAACAGGTTGTCCCCATAGTAACTAAAGCAGTTACTCAGATTAACACTGTTCAACTTGATTAAATTTACCATGTCTGGATGAAGCACAACCAACTTCTGACTGGTCAGTTTTTAGATCACTTACTGGCAAATATTCCCACTGACTGGTCTGGCAGCCCCTGCAATAGAGGTCTGATATCCTAGACGGCACCTAAACTATCTCTTCAGTGTTTCCCACTTTTGCCAGATCCCTTTGTT